CACACACACACACACACACACACACACACACACACACCCGGGTGGGCAAGCTCAGAGGTGAAAAAGGACGTGGCTCTCACAGGCTGCCTGAGCTCCAGACACCAGCTGCAAGTGTGGGGGGTCCCCGCGCTCCACTCCTCTGACCAGCTGGCTCCCCAACCAGAGTGGGGGGGCTCCCACAACCCTTCCAGGGACCAACCAAACTTCACTGCCTCCAGGCAATTCTGCCTGTGCTCCCCTGCAGAACAGAGCGGGGCTTGCGGGACTAACTCGTTGTGCGAGCAGAAGCCTCTCCGTTCTCCTGGCTCCTGGGTTTGTAGGGTTGGTGAGCACAGCTCGCTGAGCCCTCAGGCCAGCCGTTTCCTTACAGCAAATGCGCATGCATCGGACTCGCCAAGGGGCAAGGGAGGAGATCTGACAGGTTCGGGGTTGTCCCCAGGGATGCGTCACCCTCCGGGCTGTGTAACCAATGTGGGAGGTGCCCCACAAGGGAAGCTCTGAGTGGCAGCAGCAGCCCAGGCTTTGCTGGGTGGCACCTCTGGGCATGGCTTTCTGGACCTGCCCTCTGGTTCTGCCCTGCCCCAAGAGGTTGGGCTGATGTCACGGCGTCAACGCCCTAACCTGCTAGCTGCCCATGGAGCGCGCCCCCGCCCCCCAGTGTGAACTACCTGGTGGTGTCAGGGCTCATTGAGTGACCGGCTGTCTCCCCAGCCTGAGGTCACCCCCGGGACAGCCCTGCACTGTGGCCCCGCTGGGACGGGTGTCATTGGCCACCTTGTGTCCATGTTGGTCTCGGTTCAAAAGACCTGGGAGAGTCCGACTCCTGGGATGAAGGGTGCAGTCGGACCAGAGCAGGGTGGGGTGCCCCAGTGCCTGGCACGACTCCTGGGATGAAGGGTGCACTCGGACCAGGGCAGGGTGGGGTGCCCCAGTGCCTGGCACCACCATCTCTCACACTCAGGACCCCCCCACCGGCATAGGTCCTTTCTGACCCAGACCTAGGAAGCATAGCAGGTACTTCTCAGGTGTGACGCACACAAGGCTGATGTGTGAGTCAGTCTGTGTTGTTTTCTCTGTGCTGGGGAACCCCCCCCCCCTCACTCCAACCACAAGGTCTCTGCTCCTCAGCTTCCCAGGGAGTGGGGGGACTCCAGCCACAGTCCTTCGGGAGTTTATTGGGAATTGGATGTGTGATGTCAGCAGAGGGACAGCACCTTGTCCAAGCAGAGACCCTGCTGGCCCTGGCGAGCTGACTGCAAGGGCTCAAGGCCGCCCTGCAGCCCCAGCCTGCCCATGTCCCATTCGACGGACACTGTCCACTGCCATCAAATCGATCCTGATTCACAGTGACCCGACAGGATCGAGCAGGACTGCCCCACAGAGCTCCTAAGGCTAGGGTCGTTCTGGAAGGAGACAGCCCAAGATTGGTGGCCGGGACCCACCAGCTGCTCTGAGGGAGGAAGACCAAGCAGGCAGCATCTATAAGGCCACAGCCACACCGGGCAGGTCCCAGCCTCAGAATCCCCACGGGGCAGCTTGACCGTCAGCCAGGGAACCATGGCTCGTCGTGAACCGGGTGGCACAGGACAGCCGGGCATGAGGCCTGGGCTCTGACTGGTGGCCATCTACCCAGAGGCGCCTCAGAAGAAAGGCCTGGCTGTCTGCTTCCAAAACGTGGGCCATGGGGAGCCCGGTGGAGCACTGTCCTACTGACCACAGCCACGATCACTGGGAGGAGGCACCTGAGTGGAGGGACCAGACATCATGGGCTGTGAGTCTGGGGTCCGGAGGTGCGGTTGTGTGGTCACCTATGGTGCCCTGGGTCCACAGATGTACGCCGAGCCGGAGGACGGCCGCCTGGACGAGCAGGCCCTATCCCGCATCCTGCGGACGGCCCTGGGTGTGGCCGAGCTGCCCATCACGGAGCTCTTCACAGCCATCGACCAAGGCTGCCAGGGGCGGATCTCCTTCGGTGAGTGGCTGCCGCAGTGGGGTCCCAGTGAGTGGCCTACCCTGGGAAGTGGCGTCCCTCGGCAGGGGGCAGGGAGGGAAGTAGCGGGTCTTGATTGTTCAGGTGCTTTGTGAACCCCCAGGCTGGGCTCCTGAGTGGCTATGGCTGTGCCCCGGTGTCTCCTGTCTTTCAGGGCTCTGGGGCCCCAGTCCTGCTGCCCCAGGTGGCGGCGCGCGGCCAGCAGCGGGGACGGGAAGGGCCATTCCAGTGGTGACTCCCACCCATGGGCTCACCACTGTGAGCATCAGGGCAATACACACTCAGCACCCCAGCCAGTGAGCCACCCTGGAGCCTTCCGCACGCAGCTGTCACGAGCCATGGGCCATGCCACTCCAAGCTAGCATACTTCCTGACCCACAGAACAGGGCGGCCCACCTAGGGCTCGCCTTAGACAGGTCCTTAGCATTATAGCCAGTCGTGTGTGTGTGTGTGTGTGTGTTGTGTGATTCCTGTGTTGTATGTATGTGGTGTGGGCAGGTGTGTGTATGTGGTGTGTGTATACATGTGGTATGGTGGGGATGTATAAGCTTTATTCTCAAAATTCTATTCAGCTGTCAGACACAGAAGGTGTGTGTGAGTCTGTGGTGGGTCTGTGGGCTGTTTGTGTGATATGCCGTGTGCATGTGGGACCTAAACCTGTGTGCCTGTAGCATGTTTGTGGTATGTGGGTATATATGCAGTGTGGGAGCTGTATCTATGTGGTATGTACCGGGGTGTGTGTGTGTGTGTGTGTGTGTGTGTGTGTGTGTGTGTGTGTGTGTGTGCATGTACGTGGTGTGGGGCTATGTGTGGCATACGCACATGATGTGGGGACTGTACATGTGGCATGGGCCTCTGGGGTGTATATATGTGACTTGGGTGGTGTGTGCCTTTGTGTGCTGTATGTACATGGTTTGGGGACTGTATGCATGTGGTATGTGCCCCTGTTTGTGGTGTATGTAGGTGACGTGGGGGCTGTATGCCTGTGGCGTGTGCATTCATCTGGCCTGGCCATCATTGGGAATGCAGGTGTACCAGTGAGGACTGTTCCCTGGTTCCCCACTAGGTGTCGCCAGCTTCCAGTGTTTCACAGCCATGTGCAATCTATCATTGGCTGACACAAGGAAACCTCACTGGCAGGAACCAATGATAGACCCTGTGCTGTAGCCAGCTCCTGCTCACACTCAGCGGCACGGGTGGCCAGTGAAGGCTTAGGCACAGACCAGAGAGGGAAGCCCCCGGAATTTGGCCCCCAGTAAAGTGCATGTGATCATGAGAGGGCGAATTCTCCCAAGGAGGGCCGCCAGTGAGGTGTGCATATAGATGTGCCGAGAGGTCTCCTCCCAGGAAAGGGCTCACACCCTTGGAGAGGCCAGCAAGGCTCAGATTGGTGGGTCAGGCGGCAAGCTGGAGGCCTCTCCTGACTCGTGATTGTGGGGGCTGAAGAACCCCGAGTCTTGTGTCAGGAGGCAAGCTGCTGGCTGAGTGGCGAGGTCAGGTGTCCAAATGTGAAGGTCCCATCAGGTCGCAGAGTGGAGTGTGATGATGTCACGTTGGCCCGGCCACTGAGGGTCGTGGCCCAGCCTATGCACATGTCACCTTCACCACCACTGACCAGCGCTCGTTTCTCCAGACCACTTCCTCTGTCGTGGACCGGCAGCCCTGGTGGCCCAGTGGCTAAACCCTTAGCCGCCGACTCTTCAGAAAGTTCTAGATTTGAATCCACACGCTCCGCAGGGGAAGATGTGGCAGTCTGCCTCTGCGAAGCACCTTCCCCACCCCCAGTGCAGCTGACCCCAAAGGACTGGGCAGACTGCCCCACGGGGTTTCCCAGACTGTCAACTTCAGGGAGCCACTGCCTCCTCTCTGCCCCCTGGGACTTAGCCACTTTGCCACCAAAGCCCCTCTGCTAAGATTCTGACCCACTGCCATGAAGTTGATGAGGACTCCAAGCGGCCCTATAAGACAGAGTACAACTGCCCCTGTGAGTTTTCAAGACTCACTGTTTATAGGAGTAGAAAGTCCAGTCGTTCTCTCTTGGAGCTGCTGATGGTTTCGAACTGTCGACCTTGTGTACCGCATCCCAACGTGTAACCACTGTGTCACCAGGCTCTGGAAAGCCCCGTGGGGCAGTCCTGCATGGGTCAGAGGACTGCTGGGTGAACATGAGATCTCCTGATAAGGGAACCCGCCCAGTCAAACGCACAAAGTGTCCTGTGCACTTGCCCCCAACTGGGGAAAAGAGGAGCGATGGGTTTAAAGCCCCCTTTGTCTTCACAGCGACTTTGTCCCCTCCAAACGTGGCCACTGCTTCTCAGCCTCTTGGTGGGGGTAGAGGACCGGGAAGGGCTTGGGGAGGATGAGCAGCCCTGGCCCCAGTAACCATGCCCCCTTTGTCGTCCCCAGCTGACTTCTCCCAGTTCGCAGACATGTACCCCGACTTCGCCGAAGAGTACCTGTACCCAGACCAGACACAGTTGGAGAGCTGCACGCAGACGCCATCAGAGCCCACCCCCAACGGCCTGTGTACTGACTTCAGCCCCAACAGCACCGACCCCGGGGGGCATCCTCTCCGCAGGAAGCTGGACTAGGCCGGAAGGTTCCAGAGGCATGTTCCCCTCGGGGCTGCGGCTCTGTCCCCACGCACATGCGTTTATTGTCTCCTCTCCCAGGTGTCCTGATGGCCCCGGGCTCTGTCCGCCTGTCTCTGAGGAGCCTGGGGGTGAGGAAGCCCGCCCAGGCCGCGCACACCTCCTCCCTGCCTCGGTCGCACACAGAGCCGTGTGCTCCCAGGGTGGCAGGCTCTGTGTGAGGATGGATGCCAGGGTTCCCTGGGTCTTTACCTCAGGCGGCCTGGGTCTCCATTCTCCTGCACTCACGGTGGCCAAGGGCGGGCTGTCGGGCAGGGAGGCCGTGCACTTGAAGCTGGCCGGCCGCCACAGCACAAACCACCTGCCACCTCATCACGGCCTGTGGGCTCTTTTTAACCGTTTTCTTACATTTGTGTGGGGACCGCGTGTGTGTTTTATAGACTCTGTTTCAACACTGCAGGAACCATTCCACGTTTTTGGGGAAAGGCTTTTTCTACTCCGTTTTTCCTGGCACTAGTCCGAGGCCAGATTTTGATAGACACCCTGGTTGGGGAGAGTGGGTGGGTGGGGTTCTGGCTTATACTGCCCCCCAGGCCTCTTCCCCAGGTAAATTCCTGTCTTCCCTTCAGAAGGCGGGCCCTCAGACGCCTGGCCCTGAAGTCGTTTCTTTGCCCCCACCCCCTTCCTTTACACTGACCCTCCAGTGGGTCTGCAGCTTCAAGTCCCACCTGAGGAAGCCCTGAGGCTGTAGGTAAAGCTGGTGCCACCCTAGTCGTGCCCCCAGCCCTTGGTCCCAGCTCCAGTTTGTGAAGTGAGGGGAGGTCCCTGGGCATGTTGGTGGTTAACACACTCGACTGCCAACCAGAAGTTGGGAGTTCCAGTCCCCCCCTAGAGCGCAGTGCTATGCTGACAACCTGGGGTCACCCGGGAACTGAGCTCCCTGCTCACTCTTGCTCTGGGGAGGACAGCCGCCATCCTATGGGAGCTGCTGTGTCAGGGCTGGGGTGTGGTCCACAGCCGAAGACCAAGGAGGCAGTGTGGCTGTGCCGCCAGCCCCGAGTCAGATGGAGGAGAGGCAGGTATCTGGGAAAGTGGAGCGATGGGGTACCTGCCCCCCCTCATCTCCGCGGTCTCCCCTGCTCATAGGGCCCTTGTGGGCGATCATCCGAAGCAAGGTCTAAAAGCACAAGCAGACTTGTAGCCATCGGGCCGCTTCCTCGGCCAAGCCCCCAGGTCCGGGGTGCAAGGGGGTGCATTGCGAGATTTTCATTTGGGGCATCCCAATGGCTGGCAGTGCCGGGGAACTAGACCCTGAACAGAGCAGCGTATGCACCGGATGTGAAAGTAGCAACCCACCCTTGACCTTGACAGGCAGGCCCGCAGGGTCCTCCGGCTTGCCTCTGTGCACACACCCCACGGGCCCTGGGGATGCCCACCTCATTCTACAGTCACTCCCGAGAGCAGATCCTCAGACAACCCACGAAGGAGGGCGACCAGCCGAGATACATGGGGCGGCCCTACACTGGCCGCACCCCTCGGTCTGTGCATGAAGGGGTTTACTGCGCACCTCCTGCGCGCGTTTTCAGGAAAACCGTACAAACCTCTGAGAAACAGGCTTCTCCCGGCTGCCCCCCCCCCCTCCTGATGACTGTCCTCTCTTACCCTCCCTCTGCGTCCGCGGCTTTCAGAACTGTGAATGTATATAGTCTCAGAGTCAAGCCCCCTACCCCCTTTTTTTGTGTCAAATGGGGACACAGTGGGCATGGGTGGGGGTGGGGGTGGGGGTGGGGGTGGGGGCCGCCCTGGAAAGACCTTTGGATTTGAGTCTCAGTGGCATAAATAAAACATACAATCTCATCTAAGACTTGGAGTGTGCTTTGTTTGTTAAGGAGACAGTCGCGGGCAGGTCTGGGCCATACTCGGGGACAGGGTCCCTATGACGCCCCCTCCTCTCTCAGTGCTTTTCCCAGAAAAGCTGGAGTTCCGGAGAGAGCGCTGTGTGAACGGCAAAGAGGCGCTGGCATTTCGATACTCTGCAGACGTCTTGCAGGATTCAAATGCGATGGCTGTTTGCCTACCCAGGCGGTTGTATTTCCATAATCCCTCGATATTAAACACACACTCTCTAAATACATTTAGTTTCCGGAGGGGTGGAGGGTAGCGTGCGGGAATAGACCCGCATACCACCCTTCCCCTAAAGCAGTAAAGGATTTGAAGTAGAGACGCAAAAGTGAAGCAGTTGTGTCCTTGTCAGAACAGATGGTGGACGCCATCGGTCGGTCGGTAGGATGGGTGCCGAAGGGTGGGCCCCTGGCGAGGAGAGGTCCCGCTGTAGTTTGGCCAGAGGAAAAATCGGCACCACATCATGCTTCCAAGCCGCAGCCGTCTTCAGCGTACTCAGGTGTTCTTCTGTGGCTGCTGTTTGTAGGGTTACCTCTGAGTATTGCCTTTGAATCGGCTTTTCACAAAGCCATCACTGCCCGATCGGGGCGTCGGGCTGCCCATGAGCTTCCCAAGGCCGTCAGCCTTACAGAAGTGGACGGCCACCTCTTTCTGCTGAGGAGTGGCTGGTGGGTTGGTCTGTCTGCTCTGCTGGGGCCACTGCCCCATCAGGGCTCCTTGAGCTTGGGTAGATGTGTTTGGTGGAGAGGGAGGGGAGGGAGAGGGTGAAGGGTCTATGTTAGAGCCTGACTGAAGCTGCTTGTAAGGTCTGCAGGAGCTGGCGGCAGGTGGAGCAAGAGGACAGGTGAAGTTCAGAGGGACCTAGGAGCTGGGCCCCAGCCTGAGGACGGCAGGATGTCTGCACAGCAAGAATGGGGTGCAGGGCAGGGTGGTGTGGGGTTCATATTTATCCCTGGAAGAGCATCAGGCAGAAGGTTCAGAAAGTAGATACAAAGTGTTGAGCTTGATCCTTGTAAACCATGTAGGACTGGGTCTGCCTCATGCTCATGCTCTGAGACGCTGGGGTGAGCCAAGTAGATTGTTCCTTGTCCTCCCGCCGTTCCCCGAAAGCATTGAAGTCTGTTTCAATGTTACTTTGCCTCCCTCTGTGACTGCTCAGACCATATGATCTATAAGAAACCAGAGGGTTCTCCAGACTGGTCTTTTCCTCCCCCACCCCACCCGCACCCCTCATTTACTTGTGCAGTAGCACGCACGGAGAAACATACCAAATACACAGTGACCACGAAAAACCACACGCCCCTGCCATCGAGTCCACTCTGGCTCACGGAGACCCTATAGGGCAGGGTAGCACTGCCCGGTGGGTGTCAGACTCGTCATGGGGATAGAAAGCCTTGTCTTTCCTAGTCAGAGAGTGACTGGTGGTTTCAAACTGCTAACCTCAAGGCTAACAGCCCAATGCATAACTACTAAGCTACCAGGGCTCCCTCTAGCACTGTGATAGTTTCCCAGCAAACCCCCTTGTGTTTATGGCCCTGGCTTTTTTTTTTTTTTTTTTAACCCTCTGGCCCTTCCTGACCTCGATAGTCTTCAAAGCTGCTACTTTTGTTGTGAACAGGTTTGTTGACCCCAAAAAACTTCTTTGTAGATTTCTTTCCCCTGGCCCTTTGTGATGTCATGAAGTGTGTGTGGACTGAACTTTGCAGACCATAATCGCTTCCGAATCCTTCCGGGTCGTGAGGTCGGTGACAGCTCCACTCCTTTTGGTGTGGGGACAGCCTCAGCTGTGCTCAAGGCTCCCTGCCCTTTCCCTGCCAGACAGGTACCCCTGCTCCTGGGAGCTTGCCAGTCAGGGCACAGGGCAAGGTGGGGGGGGAGGTTACCCACAAACTAAATCCGGACTCCTGTTTTAGAGGTAAAATGTACCACTTCTGTGTGTCATGCACTGGCCAGCGAGGCACGTGGCCACAACGGACCCCAGCAGGGCAGTGGCACCATCTCCCACCGCCCCCACCCCATGTGTTCATTAGTCACAGGCGCTCCAGCCCCCACCCCTGTGCGCCACAGACGTGCACAGGTATGTCCCTGACAGGTGCCAGGCTGGGGTCCTGTCTCCCAACACAGCCGGAAGGGCACTTATCATTGATGCTTCCTGTCAGGCCAGCTGCTTCCAGGAGATGGGGGGTAGGGAGGGGCTGTTGCAAGTTGAATGGGACCCCCCACGTGTATCAGACCCAGGGATCCAGCCCATGTAGATGGGAGTCCTGGGAAGGGAGAAGAAAATTAGTCACAGAATAACAGCCTGAGAACTAGGAATCCAGAGTTGCCAGTAACCACCACTCCCAGTGGAATGAACGCACAGGGTGGAGAGCAGGGCGAGGTGTGGTGGGCATCCTGGTGGAGGAGTGTGACAACGATCATCTGAACAGGAGCCCGAGAGAGGACGCGCTCATGTCCAAACGGAGAACAGTGGCAGGTGCCCCAGAAGGAACGGTGCCCCAGTCTACCGGTGACATCGTTGAAGAGGAAAGACAAGCATGATCAGAGTAACAGCAGAAAAAAAGCTTGCTAAAAAAATCAAGACATTTTGTTAAATTCACTGCCAGCATACAGCATTCCAAACACGTGTTGGCAGAAGTTCTTTAGACATAAAAATAAATCCGTATGGAAATTTCTACCCAACGGATAAATAGTACTTGGAGATAAACTGAGATAAGGTAAATGTGCATGTTGGTTTTTAACATTTACTTTATTTTTTTTATTTTCCAAATGAACCCCCTTATATTTTAATGTAAAATGCAAAAATTCAAATGTTTATGTCATAAGGGGAGTATTTGCCTAGATTTGATGGCTTTGCCTAATTCTCTTGATTACATATTTTTATATAAGTTAATTTTGTAAGATCATACACGATATGATGACATTTTGGAATTTGTTTTTGCCAACAAATTTTTTGAACGTAAGTAATTTGCTCTAAAACAAACAAAAACTCATTGCCATTGGTCTGATTCCTATAGGACTGGGTAGAACTGACCTAAATGTGCATGTTGGAATAAGTCCCTCAAAACAAAACAACCCTAGACAAGTGTAACGACGAATCCGACAGTGGAGCTGGATTGGATTGTTTCTCGACTATGAACTTAGTCCAAAATACGCTGAAATTCAGGGAGCCAAGAACCACAGGCGACTGAGACGGCAAACAAGCAAAATGACAAACACGTCCAGCCACGCTAGTGATGACAGTAAATGCTAGAAATTCCTGAACAGCAGGATTGCTAGGCTGAATATTCCAAACACTCAACGGTATGCTGTTGAAGGGGGCCTGATAGTGCAGTGGTTAGGTGCGGGGCTGCTAACCACAGGATGAGCAGCTCAAAACCACCAGCCACTTGGAAGAAAGACAAGACGTAATACTCCTGAAAACAGTTAAAATCTCGAAAACCTGCAGGGACAGTTCTACCCTGTCCTATAGGGTTGCTAAGAGTTGAAATAGATGATGGCAGGGGTGAGTGAGATAAAAATGTGTAACATGTAGGCATGACTAGAAAAATGAACGTGGCGATATTACTCTAAATGATCCTCCCAGACAAGGAGGGTTGTCATAAACTCACGCTACCATCCAGCGGATTGCAATTCAGAGAAGCAGCCCCAGGGGGCAGAGGAGAGCTCCCCTGTGCATTTCCCGGCTTTGACTGCATGGGGAAAGAAAACCTTATCTTACCCGCCAACTGAGCAGCGGGGGATGTGTCACATCACGATAAAGGATCCTGTTCCAGCCGGCCCCCCCAATATTCTGGCCTGCACACCCCCTCCCCAGGAAGTGTAGGTGATGCCATCTTGCCTTAAGGCCATGTCCCCTATAACCCACTGCCCTATTGGTCGTTTGCTACGTCGAGCTGTCCTGGTAATTTTCCAACCTAAATTTGTAGCCTTCAGATCCCTCTCCACCCCCACCCTGTTCCCAGATGTTATTGTAAATCTCATTCCCGGATACTATGTATGGACCCCCACCCTGGTTCCAGAACGTTATTGTAGACTAATGTAGCTTTGCAATCAAGTAGGCTAATCAGAGTGGAAATACAAGATGTCGCTGGAGCCTGTACTTTGCAACCAGAAGAACAGGATAGAGTTTCTGCTTTTATACACCCTGCCTGTTTGTGTTAGTCTGGGTTGACTAGAGAAACAAATTCATAGACACTCAAATGTGTATAAGAAAGCTTTATATAAAGAATAATTGAATATTAAGAAAACATCCCAGCCCAGTCAAGATCAAGTCCATAAATCCAATATTAGCCCATATGTCCGATGCCAGTCTATAAATTCCTCTTCAGACTCACTCAACACACGCAATGACGCTGAATGCAGGAAGATCACAGGCCAGTGGCTGGACAGTCTTGTGGATCCTGTGTCAGTGGAAGCATCTCCACGTGGCTCCTCCAGCTCCAGGGCTGTCTCCTTCAGTGTAGCTCCATGTGGTTTGTCAACAGGAATGTCTCCCAGGGAGAGGGTGTGTTCTGCCTCCAGGAAGGCAGATGGGCATTCCCATGAAGGCCATGCTCTCACTGAGGCCTCATAGGCTGTGATCTGAATGACCGGTTAGTCTCCACCCCCTTCTCTCAAGTTCACAGGAGACTATGTAACTGCCACACTGTAGAAAAATGAATGTGGCGAAATTACTCTAAATGATCCTCCCAGGCAAGGAGGGTTGTGACACTAGTCCTCCCGGTAGCTGCGGGCTTAATAAAGACTCCTATGTTGACTTCACGGCATTACAGTGGTCCTTAATCTCTCGCAGCATATCACAGCTGGAAGACCCAATGGTCCCAGAGGCCCGCGTACCTAATAACCTGCTGCTGTGTGTCCATCCTGGC